AAGAACAACGACACGGGCCAAAAGCCAATAGAGCTGATCCAACAGCTATATACAACAAAGCCACCAGTGCCGTCCTCGCCCAAGGGAAAATAGGAGAATGGTTCCACACTACTGTCGGTGTACGTACGTCAAGGTTGCCTGCTATCCCCAGCCCTGCTCAACATCTTCCTTGAACAAATCATGATCGATGCTCTTAAAAATCATACGACCACAGTCAGCATCGGCGGACGAATAGTTACTAATCTCAGATTTGCCGATGACATTGACGGACTGGCAGGAAATGAAGAAGTCGCCAGACTGGTGAAACGACTGGATGAAATATCAGCCAGATATGGCATAGAAATCAGTGCCGAGAAAACAAAGATGATGAGAAATGGTGACAAATCCATTAAAATTAAAATTATGGTCAATGGTTAACAACTTTAAACAGTCGACCAGTTCAAGTACCTTGGTGCTATCATCAGCCCAAAAGAATCCATGCCAGAAGTCAATGCAAGAATTGCACAAACAACAGGGGCGCTTACAAAACTAAGACCAATAGGGAAAGATAGAAATATCTCAGTCAATTCCAACATCTGACTACTCTATGCTTTAGTCATCTCCATCTTCTGTATGCTTGTGAATCAAGGAAGACCCAAGCAGCCGAAATGAGATGCTTTAAACGACTCTTTGGTATCTCATACAATGACCACATCACAAATGAGGAAGTGCGCAGTAGAGTGAAACAACACACGAGCCACTACATATTTAGACTTGCTGTCTACTGTGAATCGAAAGATACTGAATTAGTATGACCATGTAGCAAGATCTTGTGGCCTGTCCAAGGCCATTCTCCAGGGAACTGTGCAGGGGAGGAGAAGGAGAGGATCAGGAAGGCAAAGAAAGAGGTGGACCGACAACATTGAGGAGTGGACAGGGAAATCCTTTGCCCTAACTCAAGCGCTAAAAAAATAAAAACGGTGAAAAGTGGAGGCACGTCGTGACGAGGCTCTCTATCATGCAGCGCTCTTACGATCCTCGCGGATTATGGTACCATGAGTGATCAGTGATGATATGCTCAGTACCTTGTTTTGGGAAATTTGATCTAAAAATTGTGAGTTTCACATGTCAAGCTTTTTCGAATGCAATTCTTTGAATATCTTGATAACGACTCCGAATAATCTTACGATTTTGATTTGAGTAGATTGCAGAACATTAAAATTTGGTTTTTGACCTCATGGTCTTAGCAACTCAAAAACGGCTTAAATGCTAGATAGACCTCCCTAGTTCTAAGGCAGCGTTTTACCTGCACGATATGACTGTAACTTATAGTGTTGATATGCTTCTCTTAATTTGAATTCAAAACTGTTCACTGTAAATCGGTATAACAAATTAAATCCCAACTCAAATGATGCCATAGGAGGCAACGATATGGAATACTCCAGTGTAAATGGTTCCTTGTAGGATGCTTCTGAACCAATAGTCTTTCCAGATTTGTTATAAAGTTTTTCAATGTGTAGCCTTTTTTTTTCATGTGAACCATATTTGATGGTACTATATATAGCGCTCATTATGCACTCAACGTATTGAATTATGAGTAAATAAATTCTTAGTAAATAAACACAAGCGTGTTGCTGTTCCCAAAGAGCATAATTGTTTTTTCTTCCACTGTTCTTGCAAGGAGTTGAAAATAAAAACCATGGAAATTAGCCTATTAAAAAAACTAATAATTACAACAGCATCAACACAAAAGGAAATAAAAATATTTTCAAAGCAACAAACAAAGTTTGAATAGGTGAGCACTATGGTTTATTGATGACGATACATACATGACTATTCCACTTGAAACACATTATATTATGTGTGTAACATTAAAAAAATACATTTTTGTAAAAAAAAAGTTTTCGAACAGATGAAAACAAAGGTTCATTCATGATGATAGATTATCAATATTCCACTTGAAACATAATATGTACATTAGTGTATATAAGTAGCAAAAAAGTGCACTTCTGTTGCAACTTGTGAAAAATGAAAATCATGCTGGAGTTATGAGTTCCTTCATTACTCCTCCACTTTCTTCTTCATCTCCAACAAAAGTCTCGGAAAAAAAAGGTGCAAAACAAAATTATGTATACAGACAAACATGACTTCCTGACAATAACAAGTAAATAGTAAAGCATCCAACCGAGAAAAAGACTGGGTTACCTTAAAGAAACATAATATATCATAATATTCACAATGAAATGAATATGAAACAGTTTTTTTCCCCGCCTGTAGTTTCTAATACTTCAAAAACAATATATTCAACAAATAGACAAAGGTAAGTAGCAATTTCAGTCTCAAATTTTGTAAAGCATTGACTACCTTAAGTTGACTTGTTATAATAACAGTAATTATTCATACTGGCTTTTGAATTCATAATATATTGCAATTTATAAAGAATCCCAACATTCTACATTGAAAAGAGTAGCAAACTAGCTTGAGACAGAAACCAAGATGTGTAAGCTGATAGATGAAGAAATGTGTAGGCGAACGAGTAAAGCAAAGATGAAAAGTTGAAACCCGTCAGCATCGGACATGAAAACTTTTTAAAGAACAGCAAAAATGGAACACAAGTTGATTTTACGCTTCATCGTCTGAACAGCAAAGGGACAGAACTGAGTGTTTTAACTTCAAATACATAATTTGTACCAGTAATTCAATGGGTAGTTTCTCTTAGTCCTAGTCCTTTTTCACAATATGAAAATATGCTGCAGCAGACCAAAAGGTTCTTGTCTGTGGTGATGTTAACAGCTGAAAAAGTTGTAGAGCCAAACGATAATAGAATCAAATGAGGAGAATTAGAAACAGATGCTATCGGTATCAGCCAGAAAATATTTTCAACAACGCTACTGATTTTTTAGACACATACATAGAGGGTACACATAATATAAACAATGCTGATAGTACACATCAATATTTAAATCATTTCATGTATGGTTAATAAGGTTTAAACTTCCATATAAAAATATCTCCATTCTCAGCCTACCAACTTTCTTTCTGGCAGCGGATTGAATTTCATTTCCGATGTACAATGAGACTTTAAAATTCCCATCACACAGAGTTTAAAAAGTAATTGAGCGAGGCTCTTGATTTTGACATCAATGGAAAGACATACAGATATGAAAAGACATCTACACTATGGACAAAACTTGTGTATCATATGAAGAAATACGGTAGTTAACATATGAAAAGAGCAGATACACTCTGTCAGACTCAAATCAAGGATTCATACAACTCCTATATTCATCCAACACTTGCTATTCTTCATAATTTTATTCCATCCCATGTACTAGACTTATAAAACCTTACAGATGTGAAACCAAACCTAGGATTGACAACATAAGTTGTTAAATTAAGGCTGCACTAGGCAAAAACCAAAGTTTATTTGATTTTCAGTTCAGAAATAAAAGCCATAGTGAGCACATAGTATGCCCAGAATTTAGGCTTTCTCTTGATGAAAATGTATGTATGTATCCTGTACCCGTATTTCTAGACAAGCTCGTATATAATTGTCAAAAAAAAAGAATAACCTGGGTGTGAAGACTGTTTGATCTGGCTACTCTTAAGGTGGAATGTATGTTTTTTTATTATTGTAAAACGCACTGAGCATTTTCCTTTACGGATGGGATATATAAATGCAATTCATTATCATTATTATAATCTTTGAGTTTCGTTGGTAGGCCTACGCTCTGACAGACTAAATCAAATGAAGGCAAAAGAGACAAAATGTTTCCTTAATTTACGAAATTCAGTCAGTTTGAAGGACGATTCCACCCCAATGATTTCTTTCATCAGAAAACTTAAGGAAAATGCCATATCTGAAAAGTTTTGAATTAATATTCATTGGTACTGGCCCGACTACTACTTTGCCATAAACAGGCATTAGTTTTAAGTAAAACAGAAACCTGAAATTCTCTATTAAAATAAAATACCCTCCTTGAAAACAAGTAAGTATCCACATACATATGGGGAAACTAAAAGTAACAAATTTACATGAATGCAGTAATAATGCCATTTACATACATATGTAATACCCATAAGGTCACAGCAGTATGGACACAAACATGACAACAAAAAAAAGGTGTTACATTTGTGAAAATTACATATAATTTTCAGTTCCCAATCTTACATAGATGGTAATGAAAATGAAACATGCAACAGAGACTCGGAACCTCACCACTATTTCTGCGACTCAAAGTGATTCAATTGTAATCAACTTGACATGTATCAGGCCAAAGTTCAAAGTGTGAACTTATATGCTAAAATATTCTTTGTTACATTTCAAAAACTATCAGCTCAGGTATTTATAATAATATACAGTCGAGCACAGATATCGTGAACATGGAAAACTCCAAATCAATGATAGCTCGTACAATTTGCAACCCTAAATGATATCTTAAAAATTTTTCGTTATCGGTTAACCCGAGTTATGGATGTGTTGAACCCAAATGTAAATGCCTGCAGTGTTTGAGTTATCTGAGGTTACGGAGCACACAGTGTTACAAATAGAGAGAGAGAGAGAGAGAGAGAGAGAGAGAG